TTGGTGTTGGAAAAAACTCCACGAACATCCAAGAAAACAAAAATGAATCATCAAAAAAATCAATCTAGAGTTCTGATTTGAGGCACAAATTATCACTCTGAAATTAACATATTTTGGGCATATGCAGGGGTAGGTTTCTACCAGTTCGCACCTATTTGCTAGAACTGGTTGTTAACATTCTAAGTAGTTCGGAGAACCGGTTGCTAGAAGAAATTACTGGCCTAATCCTGTAAGGAAGGCAGGAAGGAAACATTCTGGTGTTGCTTACAGAAATTGCCTCTCCGTTAACCCTTATTACATTCTTGGCAGGACTAGACTTCCTGTCTCAGGAACCTCTCTGGAGTTTCCTTTCCCTCTTTTGATGGTACTTTGCTTGTGTGGAGTGACCATTCAAAGTTACAATGGCACTGAAGAAAAGTGACTTATGACCATTTTTCACACTTACAACTGTTGCAGCATCCACACAATCATGAGAGGCCAGGTGAGGAGATGCGTGCCTCGATGTGAGTGATATTGAGTTGGTCACACCCAGCCAATAACATTTAATGGATAGGTGATTAATGAATATATAGCCACGTCCACCCAGTCACATGACCACCAAGCCATGCCCATCAACTAACCCACACCCACAGAACCGGTTGTTAAAAAATTTGAATCCCACCCCTGGGCATATGTGTTATCATATTTGTTATGTGAACACCTAGCTCTCTTTCTGATGCTAGGAAAGAGGGAAGGAAAGAGAAGAGGAGGAAAACCAACAGTAAGGTGCATAGACACAGCTACAGTAGTTATGGATACCCTGTTAGAAGAACTAAAAAAAAACCATGTGAAGGGATCATCATGAAGAAAATCAACTTAAGTAATTGCTAAGAGTCACTGCTAATTTGATAGCACATAATCAATTTATAAATAATTAAACAGACCAATCTGACCACAAATTATCTTGTTGTGAGGTATTTACTATATTCTATTACAATTAGCATATTATAGCATGACATGGCATGTATCAGAGCTAGGTTGGTAGTAAAGTCACATGGATCATATAGACCGCCTCTTTCTTTTTAAGTCTACTTAGGATTACTGTGCTGACTGATATTTGAATTAGGAATCCTCTAGCATACCAGTCACTTACAATTAGATCTGCTCTCATATTTTATACTCTTAACATGATGCCTATACTTGACTAAATTAACAGTAAACTGTTATGGATTAGCATTGACCAAAGAGGTCATACCATTCACTTTATAGCTTTTACTATGCTATAAAAGAGTCATATTATCCAATAAGCAATAGCTTGACTTGCTCAGTTAAATGTTGGCTTTGTAGCAGCTCTACATTATATATCTCATTTAAATAAAATGTCTCTATCAGTGAAAATTGGAAAAGTGTCAAATGGACATGGAAAATTGAAAAACTGTCAAATGCACATGGATCAAAAGACACAACAGTAATTTAAGTTATACAATAATTTAACATTTTAATACAATATACGCCATGAATACACAAATTGATTTATGAGGCTGAGATTTTTCAATTAGCAATTGCTACCTTGAAAACTATATTGTATCATACTGAGTAATATGGTAACAAAGTTTTCAAAATCTGTTTTTACTTACAAGATTGATATATATAAGCTTGGGGTTCCAAAATATCTTTTATCTATCTCATATAGGAGAAGGGATGGACATATTTGATCCCAAATACTTCTAAATTTAAATAAAGGATTATATAGCAGATTTTGAGACACAGAGCACTGAATGACCAACCAATCAATATTTTCAATATTTTACTTTACAGATTGGTTGGGACTACAACTCTCAACTTCAAGGGAATACTAGGAGTTGTTGTCTTAGCATATCTGGAAATTTGAATTGATCTGAATTGGAGCAAAGTACTGGGTGCAATAGTGTGACTCATCTAAATAGGGAATATAACATGCAATTGTTATCTTGGTATTAACAAATGAAACTGAGTTATCCAGACTTCTGGTTGCAGCGCTGCGGCAGGGTGGGGAGAGAAGAGCAAGCTCTGCTCTCTCATCCCCAATCTGAGCATTTGGAGGCCCCAGTGAGGGGCACGTAGACCCTGGAGGGGAAAACGAAGGTGTGAGGAAGCCCGAGGAGAAGTTTGACAGCGGCGGCTGTTGACAGCTTTGAGGGAGACCCCATTTGCTCCGACATATGAGTGATCGGCCACCTCGATGGCAGACCGAAGTCGCAGCGCTTTAGCCCAATGAGGAAGATACCAGAGCACGAACAGCGTTTTTGGCATCAATTGACGGATTGAACTTGGAATGAAGGAGGTGGAAAGTGAAAGTCGAGGAGAGAAACGGCAGAGAGAGATGGCAGAACTGTGAGTCTTAAATAAGAGGACGGAAGTCCGAAGGGAAATGGCGATCCAGCAGTGAAAGCAAGGAACTCTTAAGACAGAGATCAAAGCCAATTTAGTTGATTAAAGATTGACTGGTGTTTTGGACTTGTTCTGAAAAATTTGGAGTTGATTTAGACTGATTATCTAGGAATTTGGAGTTTAACCTGATGGATCTGTGACTTGTAAAAGAAGAAGAACAGTGGAAAAAAAGTAAGAGACAGGACTAAACCCGAGAACGGAAGTGACATTTTGATATTATACAGAGAGAAGAGAAGCTGATGTAACAGACCGTGACTAAACAAAATGTGAATGGACAAGGAAAGGAAAGTGATTGAATATTACTGGACTTCTTTTCATAGAATATAATTAATGAAATAACATTTTGATTAAGGTTTGATTGAATTTATTAAGAATTTAAAAGTTTAAATTATATGAAACTGTGAAAACTGGTGAAATACTATTTTGATGATTATTGATTGATTGATTACTAACAACTAATGAAATAAGTAAGGTCATATATATAAGAAGTGGAATATAGAATTGTTTAAAGGAAACAAAACTTTACAGTTAAAGATAAAGAATACAGTTGATATACCATAATATAGTAATATAAAACAGTTGTATAAGAACAATTTACAGCAAGTATATTTTAGGATATTATATTATACTCTTTCTCTCTTTTTTCTCTCATTTTGATATTATCCTTCCTGTCATCCCTTTAGCTCTCTCCCTTCTTTATCTTCTTTAATTTTGGTGATTCAGTTAGTTTCAGATTCTATAAAAGATTGAATAAAATCTGAATAATTTAGAATATCATAAGTGGGAAAAGATATTTATATTCTAAGGGAAACTATTGAATAAAACTAATAATAAAAGAAAAATTAAACAGTGAATGGTAAAGTGGGAAGATATCTACAATAAAGTTAGGAATATGACCAGTACTGCAACAGCAAACCTGAAAGGGGAAAAACCGATGTCTGGTTCATCAATGTCTATTGCATCTCCAGTGGGCCAAAAAACAATAGAAGGAATGTTGAATACGGAAAAGATGAGCAACGCGGCCAACATGCAGACAATGCAAGCAACATTAACAGCTATTCAGGAAACAATGCTTAAAATGCAGGAGACAATGGTTAATAACCATACAGATATGAAGATGGAAATGGGAGAAATAAAGGGTAAGATTCAAAATTTAGAGGAGAAGATGGGAACGATCCAAAAGACACATCCAAAAAATATTATGTGGATGTTCATCTTTGTTGAATTAACAAATATTTCCCTCAACACTGTCTGCATTACTATTACTATTAATCCTCCCATCCTTCCTTTCACCTATCTCCTCCCACTCATAACTATATGACTGTAACCTTGTTGCCTGCATCCTTATGATTTTTATTGACTGTTTCCTAGTATGATTTGATTGCTTATTGTACCCTACGACTATTATGAAGTGTTGTACCTTATGATTCTTGACTCTTGTCGAATGTATCTTTTCTTTTATGTACACTAAGAGCATTTGCACCAAGACAAATTCCTTGTGTGTCCAATCACACTTGGCCAATAAAGAATTATATTCTATTCTATTACCATATATACCAACAGTTTAGAAAATAATAGATTTAAAGCCTGTTTACAGGAAGACTCTGAAAGTAGCTTCAAACCATTATATCCCTAATTGAATTCCCCAGGAGCCTGGTAAACTCAAAGGAATAAAGAAAGAAATCATACCATTTGCTAAACCATCTCTAAGCATTTCTCACTGTGAAGTTCCCTGACCTGTTACAAGCTTGAATTGATTATTGCAACTGAACTGCTGAACCTCTATTATTTAGATGAAAATCATATAAAATGCTGCCCAGTTGCAATAAACAAATTAAATCATACCTGCCTTCACTTGTTATCTCTAATTATAAAGAAGACTTGCACAAAAGAGTAAAATGTGTACATGCTGATGAAAAAGGGCTGAAGAAAAGGGATATGTAATTTTCCTATAAGAAGTGGGTTACTCTTAACATGCAAATTGGCATGGAAATGGCTCAATAAATTCAAAAGAAAGTAGATTGTGATATACAGAAATAAAAGAAATATGGTTGTGCACAGTCAATTATCTCATGTCTCTAGTTAAACAGATCTGGACTTGCAAAAATTGCATGTTCCCCACCTCCATGATATCCTTTTATTTGTATAAACACAACACAAGTGAAGTCAATCATAGAATCATATCTTACATCCCCTCATCTCCGTCATTTTTATTTTAACTTCTTAAATGTAATTTTTATTTATTTACTCATTCATTCATTTATGTTTGTTTTCTAACCACCCATCTCTCTCAGAGATAGTGTCTGGGCAGTATACAATGTATAATCAATAAAATTAACATTAAAATCAGAATTAATTTAAGATTTAAAATTATAAAAATAACATCATAAAATTTCAAAAGGTGAAAAATTCCAAGATGGGGAGGTTAGCAATTGCTAATACAGGTTAGGGTTAGGACCCTTCTCATGGGACCAACCATACCCACAGTTGTGTAGGCCTCTGTGTCCCCCATGCAAAACTGACCAGCCAAGTTTTGGGCCCTTTGCAGAAGGCCAAGATATATAAATAGCTGTATATGCTCAGCAACTTACCGGGTTTATAAGTTATTCCTGGGGGGAAAAGGAATCCCTGCTGGGCTGCTGCAGCTGCTGCCAATGTCCGCTGGTCGTGTGGAAAAATTGGGATCATGAGAGGAGGAATATGACCCTGAACCTGCTAAACAGAAGAGAGTATCTGATCAGAAATTGCACCAAACCGTCTTAACAAATCTCTCATTATCAAAAATAATTTACCAAGTCCCACTGAACCTTTTCGTTATCATAATTTCACAAGAGACATTCCATTAGAACCCATGGGATCAATGTGCTATATTCACTATCCTTACAGTTCTTGCTTTGGAAAATATCCATGATTTAAAATTAAAACAACATGCCTTTTAATCGAAAAGGAATTATTTGTCATATGTACCTCATTATAACATATAAGCCATTTTATGGGTGTAATCGTTACCATAGTATCTGATAATAACAGTATTTTCAAATACATTCCACTATTTTAAATTTCATTTGACATTCATTGACGCATTGAAAAGCAACAATTAAACATTCAAGTAAAACAACCTGTGAAAAGAGTTTTATTTTTGTTAGACCAGGCATTTGACAATGACCTAGCAAAAGTTGATGCAAATGTTCCTTTGAAAAGTTCAGTTTTAGTTCCTGAAATCCTTAATTTATGGTTTCTTTATCGCAAAAGAACTGGAAGTATTCCAGATGAATACTTGAGAGGGGGGAGACCTTGAAAAACTGGGAAATCATATTCAGAAATAATATAATAATATAATGATTTTAATTAAAATTACCAGTAATCTCAACCCAAAAGGATCCCTATGGATAAAAACAGGAAGTATAGAAATTATTTTATAACCAGAAAAAGATGTATACCTTGCCTTGTTCCAAATGAATGGCAACAAACTCCATTAAAAAGTCAAAATGAACTTCAAGCACTTTTTTTTTAATTCCAAAAATAAAAAATCTATATGCTGACCTATGACACTGTTTAAATACTGTCAGATTTTCTTGTCATATCCATGTTCCTCTCCCACTCCCTGATGCAGACCAGAAAGGCTACTGTGTGTAGACTTCTAAGAGAGTTAATTTACCAACAACTCTTCTCTGGGGAAAAGCCCTAAGATGTAGGTTAATAAAGGTCAAGAAAAAAATATAAACACTTTATAGTATTTTTCAGACTCCATTTCTCAGGAAAATCAACTTATAATAAAAAAAAATCTTTGTGCAATTACTGCCATAGCAATGGGGCGTGAAAGAAAGTAGCTTTGAGCAGCCATTCCTTTTATTTCAGCTGAGGTAAGCCTGCTTCTCGAGCAGCACTTGTAATATGGTTAAATTGAAGTTGATCCTCCAGTGTCCAGTATCAACATTCAATAATACGACTAGCTTTATTCATTCGTCCTGGGTCTCTGAATAACTAAGAATCAAATACAATTTGTACTAGAAAAAACTATAGCTTCTTGTAAGAATGGGATACAGCAATTTTTATAATCACCCCTGAGTACTTTCAGCATGGTACTGGATCAGTTGGATGTAGGCTACTCTTGCAACACACGGCAACTAGATAACACAATCAAATAAAATATCCATCTTGAGTATTAGGAAACAAGCAAAATAACCACAAATCTGAGAAGGATGAACAAGTAGACACCCAAATGCATTGTACAATTTT